CACTTGGGAGGCAGAGCCAGGCGGATCTCTGTGAGTTCCAGGCCAGCCTGGTCTACAGAGCGAGATCCAGGAAAGGCTCAAAGCTACACAGAGAAACCCTGTCTCGAAAAAAAAAAAAAAAAAAAGAAAAAAAAAGAAAAAGAAAAAAAATTTTTAAGCATACAAATTAATGGGCTTCATTATGGCATTTCTCTACATATAGAAAAAAATAATAGATTTTGCCATGTAAATTCAACAAGGTGTGTTTACCAAATCTAAAGATATGTTTGAATGCCCTGACTTGAAATTTGCTTACTTGTTTTAAAGAAATGTCACTCTTTTTGTTTTCTTTTTGTAACTGTGGCTGCCCTGGAACCAGCTCTGTAGACCAGGCTGACCTGGAACTCACACAGAGATCCATCTGCCTCTTAATTACAGGCAGACACCCTCCAGGGCATTTGATGATAAGGCATGAAAGGCCTTTGAAGCTGGGACTGTAGCTCAGTTGGCAGAGTGCTTGCCTGGCATTCACTACCATGCCAGGCTGTGAGGGTACACACACGTAATCCCAGCACCTGGGAACAGGAGGCAGGAAACGCAGAAGCTCACGGTCATCCACAGCTTCATAAAGAGTTGGAGGCCAACCTGGTTTACAGAGCGATTTCCAGGATGGCCAGAGCTACTCAGAGAAACCCTGTCTCAATAAAATAAAATAAAATAAATATAAATATAACTAAATATTGGCGAGAGGCATGCATCAGAAGATGTGACGTGCCCCACAGCAGCCGCCCACAAACCCACGTCAGCTCAGAGCGCTCTGGCTCTGGCTCTCAAGCTCTCTCGCTCTCCCTTTTGAATGGTCTCATTGACCTTTTCTCTGCTGGCTGTATTAGTTACTGTTGTTTGTAGAGAAAACAGATTTCTTTCCTTTCTCTTTTTGAGACAGGGTCTCACAGTGTAGCCTGTGGGTTTGACGTTATCTTGATCTACATAGCGAGTTCAGGACAGCCAAAGCTAGTGAGACCCTGTCTCAAAACAAACAACAACAACAAAACCAAAAAACAAGCCGGGCGGTGGTGGCGCACGCCTTTAATCCCAGCACTCGGGAGGCAGAGCCAGGCGGATCTCTGTGAGTTCGAGGCCAGCCTGGGCTAC